AGCAATGTCATTTTGGGTTACACATAATAACAAAATAAAGCAGATATGAAAATATGTTTATTTGAGGGACTTATTTTGTTAATTAATTATTAGTTTAATTAACTAATAGTAAATTAAGTAATGCGGAATATTCCACAATGATATGAATTCCATAGATAATTATAATTATGTTTGGTAATTATATCTTGGATTTCAAATTTCATCCCTATAAATAAAGGGATCCAAATTCGGGTTTAATGTATGAGAGAAATACCTCTTAGTTTCAAAAGTTTGGAATCCTCAAAAACCCTAAGATATCCCGAAGTGCAGTTCCCACGTCATGGCAGGTTCTTTAACAAGTCGTGGTCGACCACAAAATCGAGATTTCAGTTTTGTTTGAAGCTTGGAGTTTGAGGATTGCTTAGATCTGCTCGTGTCTTGTTTCTTGGGTGCGATTTCAGAAGAGGAACTCTACATTGGGTTCTCTAGTCCATTTAATTTGCTTGTCAAAAGAAGAAACATACAAAGAAGTCAAATGTACCATTCTATTCTATTGTGTTCTATAAGTTGCATGGATAGTTGAGTTAGATCTTGTGTTTTGAGTCTTAGATCATAATTGTTTGTTGTTTCCACTACCCATTGGTTGATAATTTAATAGACTTAAAACCCATCAATTTCTAGATTCCATAGTCTCACGATGATTCTAGATCTATCTACTCATATCTAAACTGATATACAATGTTCCGATAATGCTCCTTACTACTCTAAAACGTCCTAGAGAATTCTTGGATATTCCAAGGGCTTCCCGATTATTCTTGCATCCTTTATCTTCCTCCTGATTGTTCTAGGTCGTGCCATCTTTCTCTACGGACTTCTATAAGACTAATATCGCCTTTCGTCTATGAGCCCCCCTTTTTAACCCAATCATAAGATAATTGAGTGGAATGGTCTTTGTCTTCTCGGTCAACATGGTCACGAGATAATTGGCCCATGACACTCTCTCACCACTAAATTGTCGTATATCCTCGTTGTAGAAGGAGAACTTTTGTCCCTTCGAAATTGCCTATCTTTTGATACCGAGTATAACTGCACACTGCAATACTGGATCTCAATCCTTATACTTCGAAGTTGGAATCCTAGGCATGTGACCACCCTAACTTTTCCAGGGAGGTGGAGAATCATCGGTAGGTCACCCTTTACTTTGCAACAACCCACCTGCAAGTCCATACTTTTACGACCCCACAAAAACGCATAACTACACTGGTTACAATGTAAAAAGTACTACTTGTATTATAAGATCTTGATAGCTTTACAAGGGAAATTCTCGATGGGTTAGACAAATGAGACCTCCTACCAATTTATATGGTCCTTTCTCCTTTTCATTGGAAGATTCTAGATCCCATAGTTATATACAAGGCTTCCATAATGCTCCTTGATACTCTATAATGTTCTAGAGAATCCTAGGACATTCCAAGGTCTCTCAGAGTACTTACTCCTCTATTGTCCTCTAAATTGTTGTCCAAGGACTTCTATCATACTCTAGCGGCTTCCAAGGATTTGTAGTGTGTTCTTAATTTCTCAACAGTTTCCCAGGTATTCTTGATCGCTCCAACATTTTCTAGAGGGTTCCGGATACTTTTGGAAACTTGGTTTGTGACACAATATGTAACTAGATGAGAATCATGCGCGCCCGTTGGCGCTGACTCAATTTTTTTTTGTTCTTTCTTCGATAAATAATTAAGTACCTGAAATACATAAATAAATTATTGTCCGGAAATAATTATATAAGATTGCAGTGTCGAAACTTAAAAACACTCACTCGCATTGGATTTTTCTTCTTGCTGCAAGACATCCCACCAACCTCGTATCTATAACAAAAAAAAGTTAAAAATCATTTCTAATATATAATTATAGGAATGTACAATGCTATTTTTGGTATTTGATGATAAGAAAATCAAGATCACCGTGTCATTATTGTGAGTTCCAGTATATACAACTTGATTTTGCTCATGATTGTGAGGCAGATGAGGGTTTGCTGAATCACTTCCGAAACCTATTTGTAAAAAAAATATATTAATGAATATTTTATAAATATAAATTATGGAAATAAGTGAATAAGTAAAAATAGAACTTTTGATCCTAAAAACAATGAAAAGAAAAGATAAAACTTCTAGGGCAGATTAGTAATCAGGTTTATGTTGGATTAAATGCAAGAAATAACAATATGCTTTTTACTTGAAGCATATTACTTCAATGTCGGGCACTTTTTCTTCTGGTCCAGGGGCAACCCAACCTGAAAATGAACTGTCAAATCCCATTGAATCCGTCACTAAAAATTAGAATGATAAGATTATAATTAATGTCAAAAAATACATATTTCAATAGTGGTATAGACCTTAACTTGCTTGTGGTTATGGAGTTGAATATCCACCACCTGTTTAAGGTAAAAAATGATTATAGGCAGGCTCTTCCCAACTTAATATTTGTAACACATATAAGAAATAAATACTGCCCCATGTTGGAAGTAAAACTCTTCCATTTAAAATTTTCATTCATAATCCAAATTCAAAATAATTAAAATAAAGTAGCCGGGTTTAATTTGCTTACACGAAAACAGGTGAATATGAGATTGAATCTTGTTGATGTTGTCATCTGCCAAAGACGTTTACTTGAAAGCATTTTAACAGTAAACAAAATTGAATTTTAAATCAATGAAAGGCAATAAACATCCAATGGAAAATCAGTAAGAATTTCATATACCTCAACTGTTCAACATTTCTCCATGTAAAGACTCGTGTCTCCCTCCGGTATCTCTAAGACATTTCAAATTTCTTATAATTAATAAGAAATACAACAAACCTTACATTCTTATTGATGAGAGGTTTTTTTTTCATCAGAACCCCCATCAAACAATCAAAAATATTAGATAAGGAAAATGGTGAAATTATAGGGGACAAAAAATGCTTTATAAAACCAAACTTAGTAATTAGTGTGACCGACCAGATCTTTAATTGGTACCTATGTTCCTACAAGACCCGATTAGTCCATGCCAACTTTCATGCACAATCTTCCCTATCTGAATCAAACTTACCTTGTATAAACCCCTCACCTTCATACTCCCCAACAATATCAACACCAACGTGCATAAAGTATTTCTTGCAAGGAATAATGTTCTACGCCTTTCTCATCTTCCAGACTGTGTACAAACATATAAGATTGTAAATTGACTTTATAGACTAATAATAGGCATACAAAAATTTATTATTATTTTTTTTAATATTCGTTGCGCAACAAAAGGTTTGTAAAATTGGGGATTTCGACATACCTGAAGAGAGACAAAATTGGAGGGAGGTAGGAGATTTGTATTTGGCGCGCAAAGAAGGAGACGGATATGATTGGGTTGATTTTATGCAGAGATCGGATGCTGGAGAAGAGAGATTGTTTTAAATTTGTGATTGGAGATAGAGAGTAACATTCTGTGCAGGCCGATGTTGAAGAAGCAACTCATTTTGTTTGCACACAGAAAACATCAGTTTTGATTTCCCCTAAAACCATGTCAATGACATGTAATTAGGGTTCGACGAAGCAGGTTGCAATCGACGTTCGAAATCAATAGCAACAAACAATACCCCAGCTTCATCAAGAATGAGACGATACTGATTTAGGATTTTGTGTATCTTTTTCTTTTCAAGCTCTCGCCAAGCCTTAACCACATGTTCTTTTAGTTTGCTGCTGCCATAGAACTTGTCATCCACTGTGAACATATAACATAAATATACGTTATGAACATTAGAAACAATCTGAATTGTGAAATCGTAACATAAACATAGCCTAATTCGCAAACTTCAAATTAAAATTAACTGACAAATTCATATCGCAGCAGCAACAGCAGTACGAGAAGTGATTTGACTTACTAGGTGTGATTAAAGGAGCAGGCTGACAAAGACGAACAAAGGAACACCAAAAATTTCAAAATCGGAAATCATAACAGTGATTTTCAATGAGACGAGGCTCAGAAAAAGGGAATGAAAGACGGTATGGCTGCAAACACCGGTTGCATATTCCAATCGGATATGCCTTCCGAGTTGCCTCGCCAAAACACGGCCTTCAAGTTCACCCACGGTTGCCGGTGCAAATTGTTTTCACAAACAAATTTCATCATCGCCTCCATCTTTGTAAAGAACAATCAAAATCGGAACCCGTCAAAGCAATTATCTACCGTTGGTCTAAGCGGAGGTGAAGCAGCAGAGCCAAGAAGAAAGGAGAGCAGGGTAGGCGGTGGAGAAGATAAACCTGACCCAATTTTGAAGGCGGTCTGAATAAAAAAATATAACCTTTTAAAACAAATCCGTCCGTGGCCAAAGTAGGAAATGAAAGAAAAAATGTGGCGGAAATGAGAAACGCGAAACTTTCCTGTTCTTCACCATTTTAACAATTAATAGTATATATAATATAAATGCATTTAACATTGTTTGATATTTAATATTTATTAGTATATAATAATTTGTATAACAAAGAATCTATAATTTTTAATGATTTTTAATGATATTTGAATAAACATGAACTCCACTAAATCTAATAATTTATATAATAGCATATAAAATATGTCACTAAAACATAATAAAAGATAATGGCGTTACAAAAAAATACGTTAATAAAATTGTTTGCCAACAAATGTCATTTTATTTGAAATGCGGGTATCATAATTAGGATTTCGTTTAAATAATACCATATGGATCTCGGGGCATTGCTTAAATAATACCACATGGATCTCGGGGCATTGCTTATTATTTTTGCAAAAATACCAGATATTTTGTTTATTTTTTACTTCTCGATTAACAAGTGGTTGTTTTTTGTTAATATCTCTGACAAAAAATATGATTTTTGGTACGTTGGGATAAGAATTGCATTTTGGTGGTATTATAACATCATGTTAGTGATTTTTTATTTTTTATTCTTTTGATGTTGCGGTTGAAGTTGGCCTGACATAATAATCCCTACAAGCTACAAACAAAATATATAAAACTCACTACATATTATTGAGTAAATTCGAGCACGAAATGTGTGAATTAATGTTACATACATATGATATAATAGAATAGGAAAAATGTGGACAATGAGTTGCATATCGTAAAGTAAAAGAATTAAATTAAAAGTAGTATGCTATGAAGATAGCAGCCGCTAAACAAATTAGTGTCGAAAGATCGTGAATTGCAGAGCTAGAAGCTCCATTGCTGCCACCGTTTCCAGATGCAGTTGGGCTCAAGCCTTCTTCTCCAGCTGGCCCTGGACCACCTGTTTAATTCATAATCATTAACCCCAACATAAAAATAAATTAGCCAGCGTATATGTATATTATATTTGTCTATAAAGTGACACATATCAACTTTTTTTGTTTTCATGTGATGACCAGTCATTGAGAACCCGGCCCAATGCAAACGAGGGTTAATATGCTTTCATGTAGTTTGTGGTATTATAAAAGGAAACATAATGTTGTTTATAAAACTAAATCATAATGATGGTGTTATCTAAATTAGAAGTAAATATTCTTGAAACCAGTTACCTGCTGTTGATCCAGGTGCTTCACTTGCTGAGCTAGGTGTGGGAGCTGATACTGGAGAAGCTGTGAAATATCAAAGAAAAAGAGAAAATGTACATTAAGAGATTTGAACCCATGATTTATGAGTGTGCCAAAAAACCATAAAACCCTATTTTGTGAATTCTTAAAGGATATGAATAAATGATTTATAAAGTTTGGAGTTATTCAATGTATCCGTACACGTAGACAAGATAATCCAGCAACTTTAATATATTTCGGTGAATCAGTTAATGTGAAAGAGAAAGAAAGTTAATGGTATTGCGAATTCAAAAGTGATATGAATTAAATAATCAATGATATATGTAGTTTGGCCAATCTCCTTAATTTTTGACCTTTTTATACATGTTATACATAATTAATGTAATAACTATGCTTAACTATGACTAAATGTAGCAATCAAATATTTTTAAAGAAAGCGATTTAGAAGATCATCAAAAGTTTCAGCACATTTTTTCTAAATCTTGTGATATGACCAATTAGATATAAGATTAATTAGTCAACTCGAGTATGGAAAGACGAAAGACTAACATTCCAGTTGTCAACTCCAGTTGCTAAAATAGAGTACTTACGTTTTCAACATTGATTTCGAAACTGATAAACTAATTAGTAGCGACATAAAACTAAGCAAACAAATGGTAGAGAGATAATTAACCTGAAGGACATGCGTTAATAGAAGGAACTTCTAATTTACAAGCACTAGGAAGCATGAGAGCACGATTGATATCTATTCCATAATCTTTAGCAGTACTTCCACCGACCAGTTGACACAAGCATATAGGGTTGCTTTCTAGCAACCCTGCAACCTCCGGACAACATGCTTTGTCTGGAGTAGTCAGATTACTTCCAATTTGAACAAAACTCAAACAATCCGAAACGTTAAACAATGCTGTCATGCAATCAGGTCCTGGTGCCATCGCCATTGGTGCACCAGGCAACATCATCGGAGCTCCGACTGGTGACTGTGCTTTGAAACATGGAAGCCCGGCGAAAATCAGTCCCACCAACATGGCAACGGCCATAATGATGGTGTTTGACTTGACCATGGCCGGAAAACGGTGATGGTAGTGTCGTGGAAGTAAGATTGGAGATAAGGGTGGTGGTGGATGGTGGATGGGAAGTTAATGTGTGAAAGAGTAAAGAAATGGTATTGAAGTGTTGATGTATATAGAGTAGTGATGGTAGTTAGATAGCATTGAGTGAGAAAGGTGGATAGATATGGCCTAATTTCAGCCTGTCCATATTAAATTCCGCTTTCATCTCCAACCTACCTACGCTTCTTTATTTGGTTTTTATTTTCCAAAACATTTATGATAGTAGACTTCAACCTTTATTAGGCAGTTGTCAGCTTCAAAAAAGCTTGCATTTTCTATTTCTCTATTTTTAACAAAGATAAATGGCTATTTGATAAACTCTATGAATGAAACTTATGATTCATGGTCACTTTGAATCGGTATGTATTCAGCGTATTTGATAAAGTCTCTGAACGACCTCTAAAAGAATAAAAAACATATGATTTGTCAGAATTCAGCGCATCTGATTCAGTCATTGAACGACCTCTAAACAAAAAAAAATAAAATAGAAAAACAAAACATCAGAGCCGTTAAGAAACCCTACATTCTATTTAACCATTACAATGTTGGAATCAACACTTTTATCAAGAACCACCAATAAAATATCAATCCATATGTAATGTTATGTTCAATATTCGTATGCATTACACATTATGGTCCCATAGGCATCGGATAATAGGCCATTGCAAAAGTCGGTGATATTTTTCCAGACCAAGTAAACGGTTGAAAGTATCCAAAAGGCATATAGCTTTTATGTCAACTCGTTTAGAAAAAGCAACTTGTTTTTGGTGCAACTCTCTACACCAATATGTGGCCATCAATAGTGGAATTTCATTTGTGAATCCCATTATGTCAAACTTTTTTTTAAATATTTTCGCTTTCTCACGTGTGTATATATATATATATATATATATATATATATATATATATATATATATATATATATATATATATATATATATATATATATATATATATATATACGTTCAGGTGTTTTAAGTAATATTATGTTATTGTATGCATAAATGTGGACCAATCAAAATTAAATAAAAAATTAAATAATTAAATAAATAAATAAGGGTAATTTAGTAATTTGTTTGGTAACTTCCAAAATTAATCCATATAATCATGGTATTGATTTTAACCTAATCCCTTCTGTTTAAATCTCGTTCCCCTATTTATCTAAATCTCGTTCCCCTATTTATCTAAAACTAAATGTTGGCCGATCTGCAAAGGAAAAAGGATGCCATCATGAGGAATCTCGCAGGCGGCTAATCCGTTTCTTTCTGATCGATGGCGAAGAGGGAGATGAGAAGGAGCAGCGAGGCTAAGGTTCACCAGTGTCCTGATCATGGATGACAGAATGACGATGACTGAAAGTACCTCTCTTAACATCATGACCACTCAACCTCACATGATTCCCCTCCACCAGCAAAGTCGCGAAAGCAAGGGCTTCTGCAACCGCCCAATCAACACCCTCCCCTGATTCGATCATCTTTAATCGGTCGCCCCTGTTGTCGCAATCAACAGCTAAGGTTCGTTTTTGTCCGATTTTTCCTGATTCGATCATCTTTAATCGGTCGTCCCTGTTGTCGCACTCAACAGCCATGGCTTCTATCCTATCAGGTGCTCGACAAAATGCTGCAATGAAGGAACTGTCTATCAACTTGATAAAATCAAAGTGCTACATGAGCGCAGGTGCGCTAGGGTTTTTTGTTAGGTGTTTAGGAGGCCTAGGGATGGTTAACGAGGCTAATGAGTTGTTCGATCAAGTTAAGGAATTGGGTTGTGTTCCAAATAATGATAGCTATAATTCACTATTGGAAGCTATTTCCAAGTCAGGGTCTGTAGATTTAATGGCTATGAGAATGAATGGGATGAAGGATAATGGATGGAAGCCTGATAAGTATACTTTGACATCTGTGATTCAGTGTTATTGTAAAGCAGGCAAGTTTGAACAAGCTTTTGAAGTGTTTCAGCAAACTGATTAATGGAATTGGGTAGATTCTTACGTTTTCACAATCTTGATAATCTCATCGAATCTTTTACTGTTTGATCGTTTACATCTACAGATGTCACCAACCCCAAATACATTGTTTTTGTTTATAATATTGCCTTGAATTGATGTAATTTATTGATTTTAAAAGATGAGGTGCACCTAATTGTTTAAACTTTGAATTATCTAACCATTTGTTTTTCAACAGAGTTGTAGGTGGGCTTGTGATCGCGTTTTTTCTTGAAAAGGCTAAAGACATAGCTGATAGATTGCTCCAATGGTTGGGCTGTTCTCCCATTAAAGCGGTACGTGAGTTGGTTCGTCGTGAGATAGTTCGTTGATGTGTTTTAGGGGTCGATTATCTTCTCCTTTCTTTCGAATTTCAATGCCTGTTCGTTGATTGGGTATGTTTCTTTTGATTGGGTTTTACAAGTTAAATAGATAAAAAAAATCAATTATCTTGATGATCTTATTGTATAGTTGTGAATTTTGATAGATATGGAGTACATTGTGATCTAAGGGAAAGAAAACATAAATGTGTGGTACATTTCTTGAGATTGACATGAAGAAGATAAAAAGAATCATGAATTCCAATTCTGTTGGAATCTAAACTACAATTTGGTTTTGTTTTGACAGAAGTTGATGCTTGAAGAACGGACCGCAAATTTCAAAGTGATTCTAAGCATTCTCAGAGAATATTGTTCTTACATGATTTGATTCATGGCAGTTATTTTCGTTAAATGTCTAATTTCATGGATGATCAAGGAAAGAGCTATTCTTCTGATAGAATAATCTACAATAGAATGATATGAGTATATGTAATAATATATTCTGCTAGAATATTCAGGTCGAATAATATACATATTTTTATTTGTTATTAGTGAGTATTTCATTGTCATAGAATATTATATAAAGTTTTTACCTTTTTAAGAATGTAATGAAAAATTTGAAGTTGTATCCAAAAATGTGTTATTAGTCGGCGTTGACATTCTCATAGAATATTATTCTAATAGAAATATGTATCCTGAAATTCGTAGAGAATATGATTCTAACAGAATAAAATCGGGTTTAATTATAAAAATTACGTTATAATTAAAATTAAAGTAATTAAAAAAATTAGAATTTTAAAATCAAGAGAGTTAATTATCCCAAAAAATATGGAATTTTCATTTTTTAAATTTATCTCAATTGTCTAAAATACTCTTAGAATGAAATTAGATGGTATTTTTCAATTATCTTTAATTTAATAATATATATTAATCACTTTCTTAAATTAAGTAAAATGATTGGTTCACATTTATGAATACAATAACACAATAATTAGTTTAAATAGAATAACCTAAGCCTCTCTCTCTCTCTCTATATATATATATATATATATATATATATATATATATATATATATATATATATATATATATATATTGTAATTTTATGTCTAACTTGTACATAATCTTAATGTTCTTGTTTTTTTTTAGTTACTTATTCCTAATTTTTATGATTTGCAACAACAAAAATTATGATTCATACTTAAAAAGTTAAAGTTAATTTCACTATCGATGTCTTAATCCAACATAAATTTATAATGTATATTACACATCCAAGAGCTTACGAACAAACTTGAATACGATGTCATTTTGGTTAGAATTTTCCAATCTTTATCTGATCTTACAATCACCATCTTACAGAATGTAAAATAGTCTTAGTTAAAATCTTGATATCATTATATTGATAACCTTACATTAAACCATATGCTTGGTACAATATTCCAAAAAAGTTAATTTCATATTGACTCTCATAATTCTAGACAGAAAAATAGAACTACATTGTTCTCCCTATTGTCTATTTAATGCGCCTTCATCAAATAATCTGACAAGCAAGTGAGCAACTATTGCACAACTCAATAAGTTCAATTCCTTGTTGTCACATGTATAGCCATGTGCCCATGTCATTGGACATAATCAGAGTCTAACGATTAGACATGACTAATCGGGCTTCAGTTTATCATATCTCTATATATTGATTAATAAATTATAATATATATGTTGATACACAAACAAAGAAAAATCATCTGATTAGATATAAATATTAGATCCTTTAAGAAAATAACTAATACAAAAATACAAAATTATTAACAGATAGATATACTTTTCCGAATACAACCAACGACAAGATAATATTTCTCTTTCCCACTTTCAACTAGACGGTTCATTGTAACAAAATTTATTTTACATCAATTTTTGTTTATGTAATTTAGCATTATATAAACTAAAATTAAAATTGAATTTTCATTTATATTGGGATCAACTTTTCATTCGTTTTTACTAAGATAAAGTCATTACCAACTGATTTTACCAAGTAGTTTCATAGTTTGTTATGAAATACAACAATTAACGGTATACAGATCCAATTCCGGTCAGGTTACCTATATAAATCGAGTCAAAACTTATTTGTCTGGTCTCCTCCTATGTATATGGGACCCATCTCCTACTGGAAAGCCGTTCTGAAAACTTCTAAAAATTTTAGACTTCGTCTATGGATTGACATACTAGGTTAGTGTATGATTTCCTACTACAGTTTTGAGAAGGAATTACTATACTTTTTGTCTGGAATGCAAAGAACGGTTACGGAATTCTTATAACAACTGTGGAATGTTTTGTATTAGAAGGTTAGGATAGGATTTTTTTTCATATTTCCGTTGTTAAAATCTTCAGTAGGCCTCATGACAACATGTGCTTAATGTAAACAACCTTACGTAACACGGTAAACTTTATTTGGAACATTACCTTTGGTGAACTCATTTCAGATTAATAGAATATTACGAATTCCTGGTTGTAATCAAAGAAATGACGGAAACAAGGGTTATATTTGTGTATTTGTGAAAAATCCTGGAAACAACGGTTGTATTATTGTAAGATCCTCATCTCAGCCTAGAATTTTTGCCCCTTTTTTTGGTAAAAGTTTGATAATTTAGTTATAAATAAATAAATATAAATAATAAAACAAACTAATTTATAATAACAACTAATTAGAATTAAGGATTACAAAAAGGTATTTAGACTTTATATGGAATTAAAGACTAAAGCGTGATTAATTATGACTTAATCAAGAGACTG